TAAACTTAAAATTCCCATGTTATTCTTATGGAGAATAGTCAAACTCTTGCAGTAGGCTTCTTTATGGATACCTATACCTATATGATCAAACTTGGCATTTTTTTTATTTTATACAGTACTAAGCTTATTAATATTTTATTAAAACACATTTTTTTACCCTACCTGTGGCAGCAAACCTAGGTACTCACTAAACCTAATATCATAGATAAGTGAAAATCAAATCAGACAAATGGAAATTCGCTTAATCTGCAGGTTTGCTGCGGCGGGATATTTATATTTATGACGTGACGAATATTACATTTTCATGTTTTAAAGAGCATTTACATAAAAAAAAAAAACTCATCGCCCCAATATTATGCCTTGATCTCATCCAGTTCTACACATTTAAAAGCCAAATGTTATGAAAATCGGCCCAAAATTACTCGAATGATCGTGTTCACGGCCACACACACAAATATAAATGTGATACGTAACTTTTTTGACGTATGGTGTTTCACCCTGGGGACATTAAAACTTAATGGTAAATCGGTCACGGGTCTAGGTCTTACCGTGAGACCTACGGTAATACGGTACCTTATTCCTTATGGGAAATTAGCTAAAACTAAATAATGATTTGCTATGGGTAATATATATATATATATATATATATATATATGAAAAATAGAAAAATAGGGCTACAATATATAAATAAAGATTAAACATTAATAAACTTTGTACCCAAGTAAAATTATTTATTAAAATATTTACTGACTATAGTTTCGGCTCTAAGGCCATTTTCAAAGTAAACAAAAATCAAAATAAGATATGTAAATATCTTTTAACTTGTAACATAATTTTGTCTTCATTGATTAATTTATATACTATATGATGTGTTGTACTTATTTTCATTAATATTTTCTCAATTTTGCTATAAAAGTTAGAAAAGTTTTATAATATCATATGTTATTTATTTATTTACATATCTTATTTTGATTTTTGTTTACTTTTAAAATGGCCTTAGAGCCGAAACTATAGTCAGTAAATATTTTAATAAATAATTTTACTTGGGTACTAAGTTTATTAATGTTTAATCTTTATTTATATATATATATATATATATATATATATATAAAATACGTTTAATTTGTTAATTTTTTTGTCATGTTGCCAATATTTATATTATTTTACTGCAAAAAGTTAATTAAAAACTAATTGAAAGATAATAGTCAATTTAGCCTTGAGAGAGGAATATCACCGCTCTAAAAGTAGGCCTACATCACATCAATGTATTGCTTGTTCAAAAAAAACACGTAGGCCTATAACAGTAAGCAATCTAACCGAAACTAATGCAAACGATTTACATAATCACCTGGAGCTGACGACAGTTAACAAGGTCATCAATCGATGCACTTATACACTCGTAGGCCTACATGCAGCAGTTAGAAAGTGCATGTTGTTGTTAACCGCCACTTACCTGCCGGGTTTATTGATCTTCCATATTCTTAGCCTTACGATCGTCCTGATAACACGCCAGACGATGCGACGATGGTTGCATTTACATAATCGTTCGGACTTTCCCCGTGATTTATGTCCAGAGTTCCCTGATGTAACGGGCTGCCGTTTATTCCTTTCGCTACTTCCAGTGGTGTAAATAAACAACTATACTTGGAACTCCGTATGAATTTTACAACTTTAGAGCTTTAGAGCTCTCACGGTTGCAAAAGAAACGCATTTTTGTCTGATTTCTGTACTTGTGCCTCGATCAACAGGCAATCCTAGTCTAGTGTGACTATCTTTATTTAGTGGTCAGCGCACTTAAAATTCAAAATGGCAGATTCAAGGAATATATCAACCTATGTTTACATTTAAAATTTGTTTGTTACTCCTTGCGGGCCGTCCCCCGGAGGAGGTAGTGCATCACTGAATAATGTGTTAAAATGATTTTAATGTCCAGTTACTCTGTACCAAGCATTGAAACTATATCTCTATCACTTTTTGAAATATTTAACCGTCCCGGGACTTTTTTCCACCCTGTATAGTACAGTATCCACAAGATAAATGAGAGTGCTCTTATGCCAAGGCACTGCCAAAGCTATAACTGCTATTGATACTTTGATCATTGAATTGAACATGCCTACCAGCAAGCAAGGAATATATTATATTATATTATAAGTCTTTGTGAATTGTTTATCGTACCACCAACTGCTTCACGACTATGAGCAGAAATATTATATTTGTACGACAATTATTTGTAAGAATCTAGTAGTTGTAGGGAATGTTGAACAAGTTGCAGTATATTATTGTATTTTACAGTGAATTAGGTAACATTAAAATCACTCGCTTCAATAAGTATTTGACTCTTCGATTAATTAGTGAGTCAAAGATCATAACCAGTTAATTCTCAGATGGGCTGTCATTACTGGTTACAACTTGGAGTGGACGAAAGTCAATCCGATTCCAGCTGAACTCTCTCGGACTCGCAGCCAATTTATTGTCCATTGTATCGCAGGGGTGTTATCGACAGCACCAAACCCAAGAACAATACAGTATTACACACGGGTCGTGCGTGTGTGGTATTGGTCAGCCCGGTGTGGCTCGCGGCGGTTCGTGCGCGGGTCGGAATCATGTAAAAAATGAAGTCATCATTTGAGTTAGAATTTGTATTGATTGTGAAGTAAATCATACAACCGGGCGGGGGATATCTGAGACTTAAAAATATGTGTACAGTATTATCAGGGTGTCCACAGAAATGTTGTCATTAATTTCCCTGACTTTCCATGACTATCCATGACCATTAACCATTGATTTCCATGACTCACGAACTTTACTCGAAAATTATAATACTGTAAACACACAAATAATACTGCCTAGACAGAAAATATTGAAATACGTATTAACAGATAACAATGGCGTTCACAAGGTACAACAATGAACCAAATACAAACTCAAAACCCATAAACTAAGACAACTGTATAAATTGAATTGTCGTATATTTGTGAAAAATTCTTAAAAATGCTACAATAGTTGGGGTTACGGCTGACTAGATCATTGAAAGGACCCCTGAAATCCATCCATCATTGGTGATTTCCATGACTTTCCATGACTTTTTGCCTATTTCCATGACTTTCAATAACCAGAATTTTTTTCCATGACTTTCCATGACTATCCCTGACTTTCCAGAATGTGGTCACCCTGATTATGGTATTTTATATTTACAATTATTTTTGAACGATATGATTCCGTAATGTTTTGACCGAACAAAACGACCAACCCTACCGGCAGAAATACCTGTGAGTAGCCAGTAGCTACCGATGTAAGTGATCCCATACAGTTGCAGTGAAAGTGCTCCGACGGCATCTATCTCAATAACCAGTGCCATTTATCTAGCGGCCGCGCTGAATAAACCATCTCACCCACCCTGTCTGTACCTGTACTGACGATATACAGGTAGTTCCGCAACGCAAGGTGGAACACTAGTCACTAGTCCCACTGACTATTTGCCTCGCTGTTTTCACTTTTAGCTTTCACCCGCGACACGGTACAACAGGCGATGTCAGTTACGCGTCGTGTCATGTCAAATGTGACTTGAATAGTCAGAGAAGTGTCCGAGGTGCGAAAATTGGAACGATGTGTTGGAATAATGAGTCACTCTGCTCGTGAGTCGTGACCGAGGGATGTCGCACGTGCGATTCAGTTCAAATTCATTTTACTCCGTTTGCATGTCAGGATGTGATTCGGTTAGATCAGAGGGGAGAAACAAGTTAAAGTAGTCAAATTAAGAGAACACCGCCTCCCAAATTCACTACATCATTTCCACCACCGGTACAGCACTCTTTTTAGTGTCATACAGTGTTTTCATTCCTGGAAAAAATTTAAAGTTAGGTGTACAACGTATTCCGATATTTGTCTATAGCTGTTCACAAGATTTGTCTTTCCAGAAGCTTCCTCCGAGACGTATTCATGGTAGACTCGCTGTGTAAACGTAATGTTATTTTGTGTGCCGATCTATATTTTATAACAACTACACACAAACGAGTTTTTAAAACCAAGCCACAAGCTATTATTGCAATGACGGTCGTAATAGAGGCGTTGATATGTGATCCATCGTCAAGACAATACCGGCACCACACGTATCAAGGTCATCAGCGTATTTGGGTAGCGTCTGATGATAGCGTCATTGTGTCGCCACGGGCCACGTGTGTGACGGACAAAGGAACACGAACACTGTGCAGCGATCAGCGGGCGTGCAACGAGAATCTAGCAGAATTAAACCCACACCTGCTAACTTTTACTCAGCTACAGAATCAGACAAATCAGATCACCTAACCTAACCTAACCTAACCTACAGTTACTGCCAGTGACGTGACTGACCATTGGCCAGCGAGCCACGAATTCTCACAGCACATGCAACAATTACGCAAACTCTCTCTGAATCAACGACATCGGCGGCGGCGGCGCGGCGACCGAATTGTCAACTTTCTACCATACGGCCCCCGGAGAAAGTCAAAAGAGCCCACACGGACATAACTACTGCCCCTACGCAACCCTGGACCCTGAGATAGGACACTGGCAATGGGTCAACACGTAAGCTAAAACAGGGTAATAGTATGTTTAAATATGATTAAGAGGGTAGATAAAAGTTATAGATAGGTGTATATATAGCCCAATGTAAGGGACCTCTTGTGTGAAGGCTGGCAGGTCAAGGAAAGTGGGAAGTGATGTAGTGATGTGCTACCTGCAACGGTCGCTGAGATGTTTGGAGCGTTTGTAGCCAAATATTGCAATGGTCGAAGGGAAAACATATGCCAATCAGCAACATTCATTGGACGTCGATGAAGCCATCGCTATTGTCATATATCATTTGTTATTAGGTTTGATAATAAGAGATAAAAACCCTACATATTATTTACCGTTCACAAAATCGCTTAGACTAGAACCATGGGTGTGAGGGATGCTACCAACCAAGATATAAATTTCCTATTTCCCAACGTTACATTAACCAAATAATGCTGACAACTCACCATTTTCAGAGTTTCCTCAGGTCTTAGGAGATAGAACATGGACTGGAGGTGTTGCTGTATATCGGGTCCGCCGGTGCCGTTTTGGCGGGCCCCGGGCCATGTGACCAGGCGTTCGTTAGGGGGCAGCACCACCGCGGCCCCCTTGCCGGCGAAGTAGCACTCGCTCAGGCTGCAAACAAACAGTCCATGTCAATACAGTTAATGTGTTGCTATATGTCGGGCCCACCGGTGCCGTTTTGGCGGGCCCCGGGCCATGTGACCAGGCGTTCGTTAGGGGGCAGTACCACCGCGAGCCCTTGCCGACGAAGTACCACCGCTCAAACTGCAACAAAGGAGTTCATGCCAATAACACAAGAGGTGTTGCTGTATCGGGTCCACTGGTACCGTTTTGGCGGGCCCCGGGCCATGTGACCAGGCGTTCGTTAGGGGGCAGTACCACCGCGAGCCCTTGCCGACGAAGTACCACCGCTCAAACTGCAACAAAGGAGTTCATGCCAATAACACAAGAGATGTTGCTGTATCGGGTCCACTGGTGCCGTTTTGGCGGGCCCCGGGCCACGTGACCAGGCGTTCGTTAGGGGATAGCACCACCGCGAGCCCTTGCCGGCGAAGTACCACCGCTCAAACTGCAACAAAGGAGTTCATGCCAATAACACAAGAGATGTTGCTGTATCGGGTCCACTGGTGCCGTTTTGGCGGGCCCCGGGCCACGTGACCAGGCGTTCGTTAGGGGGCAGTACCACCGCGAGCCCTTGCCGACGAAGTACCACCGCTCAAACTGCAACAAAGGAGTTCATGCCAATAACACAAGAGGTGTTGCTGTATCGGGTCCACTGGTACCGTTTTGGCGGGCCCCGGGCCATGTGACCAGGCGTTCGTTAGGGGGCAGTACCACCGCGAGCCCTTGCCGACGAAGTACCACCGCTCAAACTGCAACAAAGGAGTTCATGCCAATAACACAAGAGATGTTGCTGTATCGGGTCCACTGGTGCCGTTTTGGCGGGCCCCGGGCCACGTGACCAGGCGTTCGTTAGGGGGCAGTACCACCGCGAGCCCTTGCCGACGAAGTACCACCGCTCAAACTGCAACAAAGGAGTTCATGCCAATAACACAAGAGATGTTGCTGTATCGGGTCCACTGGTGCCGTTTTGGCGGGCCCCGGGCCACGTGACCAGGCGTTCGTTAGGCCCCGTTTATGCACCAAGTGCGGTAGCGGTAGCGACAGCGGGAGCGATTTCTAACACCATTGAGTTAAATGGGGCTGTTTATGCACCAAGAGCGATAGCGATAGCGGTTGACCTCCCGCTGCGATTTATAATTCGCCCGCTGTGTAGTTAGGAATCGCAGCGGTTGCTTGGGCTGAAGCCAGGGTTGCCAACTTGACCCACGCGCACGTACACTTAGGACAAATAGTTGTGTTAATTATTTGGCAGAGTTTGAGTTGGCAAGACTGTGTCCCCCTTCCATTCTCCTTTAACCAACCGCTACCGCTATCGCTCTTCGTGCATAAACAGACTCATTTACAGCGGGAGCGGGCCCGCTATCGCACCGCTCCCGCACTTGGTGCATAAACGGGGCCTTAGGGGATAGCACCACCGCGAGCCCTTGCCGGCGAAGTAGCACCGTACAAACTGCAACAAAGGAGTTCATGCCAATAACACAAGAGGTGTTGCTGTAAATCGGGCCCACTGGTACAGTTTTGACAAGCGGTCAACCTCCTGAATTTAAGCCGACACAATTCATTGTTTTAAGATGAGCTATTGAAGAGAAATTTTACGTCAGAAGAGAGGCTGTGGAGACGTAATGAGGCAGAACTAAATGTTAAAACACAAAATTATAAGACTTTAACAGTAAAGGGATAGAGGTCGATACCTCCGAGTCCGAGAGCTTCTAATGCGTATTTTACCCCAACTATTGGTTGCTCGTGACTACTCCAAAGACAGATGTACTACCAAAATAATTATACAGTTATTAAAACGTCAACGGAGTTGAAAGTTGTCCTACTTCCTTCGATTAAATGAAAAGTCGCGCTCAACCGATGTCATCGATCTAGTTTGCTGGGGTCGATCAATTTTAATAGTTCCCTTTCTCGCTCGTAGTTTATCGTGCTACAGTTCAGCTTGAAAGTAAATTATTTTTCCTACAGTCACCCGACAAAGTTGGCTTCCTTGTACTGTTTATAGTACAGAAAGCTGCTAATTGCTGCATATTTATACTTTGCCGTACGGTTTATACTTTGCCGCACATCAGGATTCCAACGAAACAACACAAAACAGCGTGGTTCCATTATGCACGTAATCCGTGTACGCTTGGAAATAGGTTGGCAACACTTAAAGATAATTGGACGAAACGAAGTGAAGTCCTCATACTCCACTAAAGAATTTGGTTGCTAAATTTTTGTTACGGAAAGGCTTTTTTACTAAAACATCAAAAAATCTGATTCTTGTACCACAGATTTATTTTGTTGTGTAGTTCTTTCTAAGGTATATTTCAACAATTCACGATTATGTTTTCGATTTAATGTTATTAAGTAAATTAACGACTTTTGTGGTCGTGGTTTGTTCATTTGACTAGCGTAGCTTACGTCAGTTTAGAAATAATGTCAGCAACGTAACATAACATAACATAAGTCCTTGTCTATGTCTTGTCAACAACAGGAACTACTATTTCGGCTTAAGGTATTTCTATTTCTGATATACAAATTTCAAAATAATTGGTTTACAAGTATTTTTTCAATCAAATTTTCTGTCGTCGATCGCCAGGTGGATTGGTGGATTGAGAGTGAAAATCTGAGTCGTGGATGAGATTGATGAGAAAGAGATTGGTGGTACGGTAAACAAAAACCAAGATAAGTTGGTGCATTTTGATTAAAACAATAACAGAATAAAATCACGTAAGTAAACAATTCAATGGCATAGGCTTAACCACGCCTTAACAATGCAAGTCTCAAACAAATCGGCCTCAACGCCTAAGTTTAACTTAACCTAAAATAACTGAACTTAGTGAAGATAAACTAACTAACTTAAAGATTATGGTTGGCTGATGATAAGGGTAAAAATGTGTGTTTGTGAACCTTTGAACATCCATGGGAAACCTGTACATAGTTTCCAAGATCTGGTTTGGTTAATGATTAAGTCAATGAGTCTAATTGAATCCAAAGATAACAAAATTATTACCGGTATCCAGCTACCCTAGGTTGTGGACACATGTTAGTAGCCTAAGTTATAAAACATTAGTTTATGATCCCAAGAAAAAAGGTCTAGGCTATGCTGAGCAGAGACTGAGAATGTAGCCTATGCCTACCCCATTAAGTAACTTATAGTGTTAACTTAACTTAATCATCTTGTAAGTTAGCCTATTGTTCAGTTTATTGGCCCTAAAATGTATGCCTAGGCCTAGGTATGTGAGTTAGATTAACTGTAAGCTAAAATTTTTAGGGTTAGCTAGGACAGTTAAGAAGCTGAACTAGGCCTATGTTCTGAGGCTGCTTAACTTATTTTGTGTGATATATACGCTAATGTTTTTTTTTTTACGCAGAGGATACGCGTCCGGTAACAGGACGTGGATTAGGCGTCCGGCAGTTACTGTCATAACCTAACATAACCAACCAAACTTGTTGATAATGAAAAAAATCAAATGAAGGTTAAATTCTTTTCATAACATAAAATTATAAATGCCAAAAATTCTACAAAAGATGTACAGTTAAGAAGAAATTAAGTACATTCAAAGCAAAATCTTTGACAAAAAGTTAAAGAAACCGATGGGTTTTGAACCAGGGACCTCTTGGATATCAGCCGAGCACTCTATCCACTACACCACGAACAACGCTGGCCAAATTTCGTATTGTTGTGGTAATGGCGTTCCGGGACCCCACAACCCGGTGACGTCACTACCGGACGCCTAAGTTAATCCACGTCTGGTTACCGGACGCGTATCCTCTGTGTTTTTTTAAATGTTTTGAAAGTGAACGATCCAAACCATGGTCTTGTTACTACCCAACAACCTTATATTTTTTACACCTTTTTGTTATACACAGAGTAGCCTACCTATACACGTCCGGTAACCGGGCTTGGATTAATAGGCGACAGGCGTCCTGCAGTGACGCCACCGGGTTGTGGGGTCCCGGAACACCATTACCACAACGATACGATGTACAGCCATCGGTGTTCGTGGTGTAGTGGATAGAGTGCTAATATGCAAGAGGTCGCTGGTTCGAATCCCATCGGTAACTTTAACTTTTTGTCACAGATTTTGCTTTGAATGCAATTTCTTCTTAACTGTACATCTTTTGTTTGAATTGTTGTTATTTATAATTTTATTTTATGAACAGAATTTAACTTTCATTTGATTTTCTCATCATCAGCAAGTTGGGTTGGTTTGGTTAGGCTATGACAGTAACTGCAGGACGCCTAATCCAGGTCCAGTTCTCGGAAGCATATCCTCTGTGTTTTTGTTATTCATAATTACAAATAGTATCTGCGTCTGAAAACAATCTCCCTTGGAATCAAATCAGCAACCTGTAGATTTTAAGTTGAGCTCTATAACAACCTCTCTTTTGGCCTACCTAGACAATATTTAACTTCTACAAAGTTGTTTGTTTTCTTGAGCTAAAACAACACATTATTTTCTAGATAACTTAGGCCTTGGCATTAATTTTAAAAAGTGTTGCACATAATTTTGATAAAACGAATGGCATCCTTTTTAACAGAAAATTTATACCTAAAACCCCAAATTTGCTCTAGCCTAGCCGGCTGCACGTTAGTTTGTGACGTCCTACTCATTCGAATGAAGAATATCAATATATAGACTATTCGATATATTGATTACGGTATTTCATTCGTTTAGTTAGGTTATGTCAACCTAACTAAGTTAACCGAATGAAATAGGCTAATCAATATATTGATTTCAGATCGATATATTCATTCGAATGAGTGTATGACGTAAACTAAAGTGCAACCGCCTAGCCCCTTTTGTTAAAATGAGGGAGTTAGTAACTTAAGTTAGTTTGTGGTCTCAGATGACAACAGTGGCATTTTAGACGACAGACAAAATATAAGTTGCGCTTTTAGGGAAAGCGGTCCAAACGTGTAAGTTGAGTTAGGCCTACCTGTATGTGCCGGATGTGCCGGAAATCAAATCCATCCTTTCCGCACTAAAATCTGTAACCCT